TGTATATTTAGAATGTTTTCATAGACGAAAAATGAATACAAGATAAAAAATATATTGAAAAAACTATGGACAGGAACCGAACCTCGGCTCCTCCAGTATAGCAATTCACGATCGTTGCCGTTACGCTACAACTTGAATTTAGACATACAGGAAATAAATATATTGTTCTTGGAGTAATAAAACTTTAATCGCAAGCATTTCAAAAACTATTGAGTAGTTTTGACTATAATGATATATTTTCTGAAACTGCAGGATGATATCTACAAACCTGTAAAGTTTCAGCTAAATCAGTGAGCCGAAGGACTTGCACTCTCCTTGCAAATAGCAAAAACGTTTTTAATTGTCATGTCAATATAAACTATATATAAATAAACTTTTTTTTCTTTATGAGATTCCTGTCTTTTTACTTATATCATCTGTAATATGATAGTCATATTAAAATGAACAATTTTTATTTAAAAAAAAAATGAATTACAATTTTGAGAAACTTCTATACGTTATTTAATTAAAATTGATTACATTTTTTAATGTTTTGATGTACAAGTTAATAAAAGCTTATTTTAGTTATTATATTGACATTGTTTCAAATTATTTGATTAAATAGTATTTATCAAATTTAGTTTAATAGTCTTTTATTGTTAAATTTATTTTACATGTTATATATTTGATAATAATATCAAATTAACTCGCTAATGTTAATATCGCAATGCCTGAAAAGATATTTATTAAGATAAAGTAAATCCAAATTTAAATTGTACTTAATTGAAATTAAATTGATAGAACTTACATATTTTACACTTCCTTCTTCAAGTGGTAACGAACCAACAAAAATGGTATTGCTAGTCCACTTCCAAAGAAAAGAATGAATATTGCAGTTAATTTATACCTGTTTTGAATATCTAGAGGAAGATTCTGTAAAAATTAATTTAAATTATCTTTAATTGATGCTGAAAAAGTTTAAAAAAAATTCAATTAATAATTCCATTTAATTTATGATCTTTATTATTCACTTTTATTTTAACAAAATATTATTAGGTTACACAGTAATCATTGTAATCAATACATGTTATGCAATCAAAAATTTTTTTTTACTTACGGCACCAGGAAATCCCTCTGGTTCATGACTTGGTCTTATAGAGCTAGTTCTAAAAAGTCTGGTAAATTGTCGTGAAACCATTTTTAAATTCAACATGTTTATAATTTCGTATTATTTTACGTACGTTATCTTTAGCTCTTTCAATGGAATAGTACTCGACTGCTGAGACTATTTGCACGAACCTGACCATAGAACATAGATTATATAGATTTACTGTTTCGCCTAAGTTTAAGGCATGTTCATATATATCTTATAATAAAATGGATTCTTAAATAAATAGATATAATGAAATAAATTCTTATATCTTAATATACATTCCGTATTTAAAAGTATAATTATTTTTTAAATACTTTAATTACTTCTAAAAATGACAATTAATTAAAAAATATAATGATAAACAATTTTTAATAATAATAATATATGATGTTTGTATTAATAAATGATAATATAAATTTATATATTTCATAAATCATTTAGTTATCAGTAATAATTTTAACTTATTACTAATAATTTGATATTAGAATTATTTATTATAAAGCTAGAGATTGAATGTTATGTTAATTACATATTTTATTTTATTAATATGGTAAGAGATGAGGAAAGATTCGTAAAGCGTAACAAACATTTTTTAATGCGTAATTCATATATAATTGGGATATTATAGATCAGTTATACAAATAATTTAATAATAAAATGTAAGTAAGTACATTAACATTAAAAGATATAAATTTTCTTCATATAACATAAGTCATTTAAATATTCGTATACTAAATGTAGAAATATTGTTTGTGGTGATTATAGTAATATACTTTAACAGTAATGAATAAATTCGTAGAAAGAGGTTGTTTACTTGTAACAAGATCGAAATTCATATTATTTCTAAATAAATAAATATTTCAACACTTTTTATCACTCGTTATTAATATTGCAATATGGACTTCACAATTTTGGTATATACTATGATTATAATTCTTTTAGTATAAAAAAGTTTGGTAATTTCTATAATGGCATAAGTTTTTAATTTGATATTTTCGTCTGCTTTATATAATATATTTATAATTAAGTTATAGAAGATTTATTAAGAACATAAAATAGCAATAATTTGAAAACAAATAATTATTGTTTATTTGAACAAAATAATCATTTGTGATTAAATAAGTAAATGATAAAATCTAAGGAAAAGTATGCTTAAATGCGCATAAAAAGTGTTTTGTGCTTCTAAATTTATTTTATATCAATTAAGTTATGTTATTAGTTATTACAAGAAATAATAATTTCTTATTTTGTGGATTAAAATTTTACTAACTCTGTAATAAATTTAGTATACCTAAAAGAATATTAATTTATATTAAGTATTTTATTAACATGGATGTTTAGGGAAATTTTGTTTATTATTAACTATAAATAGTATAGTTAATAAAAGAGTATGAAATTACATACAATTTTATATATAGAAATATTTTTTCATCTCAAATGGTATGTTTTAAATTGCATATACTTTATATATGAAAATATCCTTTAATAACAAAATTAATATATTTGTAATAACGTTCATTATTTTTCATTTCCTGATAGTGTTTTATTTGTTTCTAGTTTTAAAGAAAAATTATCATGACTGATAATTTGGATTATTTAAGCAAATATTTTAAGGAGACTTTGAAACCTACTGTAAGAACAAACGTAAGCTGAATTAATGTGAAATATTTTATATTATCTAAATGTTTTATCTATATATTTTACATTGTCTATATATTTTTATTCAAAATATCAACTTTTAGGTGTTAGAGTGTCGTGTCTGTGAAGAGGTATTTACCATTGATGGAGTAAAAGTTCCAAGATTATTACAATGTGGTCATACAGTATGTCATTCATGCCTTTTACGGTTGAAACCTTGTATGACAGACCAGCAGTTTTTACTATGTCCTTTTGATAGACAGCCAACAAGCATTATTCAAAACAATATCTGCAATTTGAAAAAGAATTTTGCTTTAATTGAATTGTTAGAAAGGCTAGAACAAACTAACAGTGAAAAGTTGCTAATACTTGAAAGGGAGAGACTCCAGTCCAATCAGTCTTGTGATGAAGATGAAGCTCACACTGCAGTGTTATATTGTACAATTTGTGCAATTCACTTGTGTGAAAATTGTGATAGTAATATTCATTCTTCAAAGACCTTAAGTAAACATAAACGTGTCCCCCTGTCGGAGAAACCAAAAGACAAACCAAAATGTCCAGTACATACAACACACATAGCAGAATTTACATGTACTCAGGAAGGCTGTCACAACTCTCTTATGTGTTATTTATGCAAAGATTATGGTAGACATAGTACACATAAGGTAAAAAGTATAACGTATAATCAACAATCAATGTTCTAGTGTGTGTTTTAATTGTAGTTAGCTTTGGTGGAAGTTGAGGCAGAGAATATTAGAAAATCTATTGTGACTGCTTTGCAGAAAATGACACAATTTATGGAAAGCATGAGAGACACAGCATACAGAATAGGTATGTTTACTTTCTGTATTCTAATATTTATACGATAATACGATAATAATTATATGTTATAATTTTTTTTATTAAAGATTACATTAGCTGTTAATGAAAGAATTTAATGACTAAATTTATAAGAAATATTTCTTACTATTAATGTGATTATTAGAAACAGTGATACAAGAATTAGAAGGATGGGCAATAGAAGATGCAAGACAAAGGGTGCATCAGCATTTTGAAGAATTAAGAGGTTTATTAGCTGAACAGGAAAATGCAGCTATCTCTTGTGTTGAAACGGAAACACGTGGCAGGTTGTGTGCTTTAAGGCAGCAACAACAGGACTTAACTACTACAAGGTCTCAAATAGCAGATGTGTGCATTCAGTGTGAAAGCATTTTAGATTCTGAAGATTGGAAATTACTAAGTAGCGCAACAAAAGTTAAAGAGGTATTAACTACATTGGAACAACAACAACAACATTATGTTCAAGTTGGTCCTGACTTCCTCACACCTGAATCCTCTATACCCATAATATTCAGCCGGGTATGTATTTGTATCATTGTATTGAAGCATTGAAAACTAGTAAAGAATTTTTGGTACAATTTTTTTATATGAAAGACATAATTTGTGAATATTTAACAGTAATTTCTAATGTTACGTAATCCTACAAGAAATAATACAATAATTATTATTATAGGACAACAGGGTACATATTGGTACAAAGATTGACATGCGTGTGGTAATCTTAGGATTGGATGGTGCTGGAAAAACAAGCATTCTATCAGCCATGAGAGGCATCACACTTTCTGGACCACCAATTCCTACAATTGGCTTTAATGTAGAAAGTTTAGAATATAAAAATTTAGTATTCACATTGTGGGATGTTGGTGGACAGCAAAAATTCAGACCTTTGTGGAAACATTACTATCATAATACTCAAGCTGTTATTTTTGTAATTGATGCTAGTGACAGATCTAGATTTAAAGAGGCACAAAATGAATTATCAAAAATTGTGAATGAACGTGAATTAAAGGATGCTCTATTTTTAATATATGCTAATAAGCAGGTGAGGTATCATCGTAAATTTTTTAAATAATGTTTCAAAGGATACATTATTGATCAATTTTTTCAATTATTTTTTCCTTGATACTTGTTCTTATTATTTTTTAATTTTGTAGGATATTGTTGGTTGTGCCAGTGTTGAAGAATTAAGCGATATCTTGTGTTTACAAAAATTATGTTGCGGCAGAGCATGGCATATACAAAGCTCATCTTTAATCACAAATACTTGCGGCTCTACACAAGGTCTTGATTGGTTAACACAACAATTAGGTGCTCATGAAACCCTATATACGATACCTACGTTATCTTAAACTTTATATATGCAATTCTATTTTATGCAGAACGTGCTATTATATTATAACGAAGAAAATTCAAACTTTTGTATTTATAAACTCTTGTAGCCTATAATTTGCTTAATAATTCGTATATTGCACAATTTAGAAATACCTTGATTAATTGATAATTGTGATGTTTGAGGTTGTAATTAATATATCGCGTTTCATATAAGTGTCATGTAAAAGCCATACTAAAGGCGAGAATAAACGATTTAAGCACGTCTAGAAAAGTCTTATTTATTTTATTACATTGGTTACTTGGTTTTGCATTTGATACATAATCATACCAATCATATTTATATTTATATTTCATTCAGTCATATCTGCACACATCCAATCATTCTTACATTTTAACTGGAGCGAGCTTTTTAATACGCGCGTACACTGTACGAAAATTGAAATAAAATATATATATATATATAAATAAATAAATATGTATATATATATTTATATATATATATATATATATGTATATATATA